ATATATTAATTTATTTATTTATTTCATTTTATTTCATTTTATTTTCATGTTTGTTTTTAACTTGCACTTCTTTGCCACTGCATACGATAGGATACAGTATCAAGAAGTTTATCTTTGCTATTACCTGTCGTTTGAACGACACGACGAGGCGTCTCTATCTATACCATTATTATTATAATTATAATTATTATTATTATTATTATTATTGTTATTATTAGTATTTAATATTATTATTAATAATATTATTATTATATAACAAATAAGTTAAAAGAGTTTATAATACACGCATTGCTTTTTAGTTTTGGAACCCAAATCGACGATCGGTTATTCACGTATATCGTCGAACCCCCATAAGTGTCCTTCATGGCTTTTCGTTTTCTTTTTTTTATTATTCCCGAACGTATAAATAATTAGTTTTGTTTTATGGTTACAAATCGTATGTTTCATTGTAAAATTGTAAATGATTAATAGATGTAAATCGATTGATATGACACACACTCCTTTCGGATTATTCTTGATTTCTTTTCTTTTTTGAGTTGTCTGATTTGATTTAATAACCGATTCGATCGGGGCCGCAAAATCCAACGTTTCGTTGATGGAATAACGTTGGTTCCTTATTCGATAGACGAATCGACGTTCAGATGGACCAACTCTGATCGTACGATTTATCTTTACATCATTTTCATTTCCATCCATCGAGCCTAATTTTAGGAAATGGCATAATTATTTCGTTCTTTATAATATCTAACAATTGGATTAATACATCCCTGATAAAATAATCCGAATCATTTTTTTGTTTCATTTGTTTCAATCGATTGTAAAAAGAAAAGTAACGAAAAAGAGAACCAGAGAAATCAACAGCAAAAAAAAAAGAAGCAAAAATGCAAGGATAAATCGTAATGCAAAGAGAGATTAATCCCGTTTTATGAACATCAGGATCGTTCGCATAATGCAATAATATACTTTATTTACAATGATCTTACAAGAATCCGAAGCGCACCGTCGACCACGAAAACATCGCCAAATCTTCCGACGGGGATGTTCCTTCATCCCGAGTAGTTCACGTTTTCATCTACGATAATAGACGATAACGTAAATCATTCTCGAGAATATTCACGTATTTATGTATGTATAAATATGTTTGTTAGTTTGTTAGTTTGTTAATTAATATGTATGTTTCTTAATCTTGTATCGAAGAATCGCGGAACGTCGGGTAGGAAAAAAGAAAGGGTTTTAAAAAGGGTTTTGATACGAATTAGTAAAGAAATGACCGGTGAATTCTCTGTTGACTATTATTACGTAAACTACCGTTCCTAACTTAACAATTGTTTGATGTAAAAAAAAAAAAAAAACCAGATGCTGCTTATTTTTGTAATATAGTAATTATAGAAGATTTGTAAAATAACGATATACGATTAATCATAAATTAGCAATCATTTGTTGCTTCGTACAATTGTTATTATTCGAAGAAAAAAAAAACAGTGATAATAATTAAATGATGATTTGTAAAAAAGTTATTCGACCGTATTAGAATAAAATATTTCACTGAAAAGGGGGTAGTGTACGTAATAGTAGAATTCAAATGATTAACGCGTTAGGTAAAATATAGCAAGGTGAACAATGGTCTAGCGGTTTAAGTTTAAAAGGGAAGAGAGTTAAAGTTTAGCAAGAGGGGGAGGGGGTGCGACGGTGCACACGACGTTGTTGTTTTATTTGTTCTTTTTGTTAAACGCACGTCCCGTTAATCGATTTTGAACGTGACAAGTTACTATTACGCATCTTAAAGATGCGTTTAATTTCTCCGAGTTTATTTCTCTTCTTTCCCGATAGATAAACGGGAGAGAGAGAGAGAAATAAAAGGGATGTGTTGTTTTACTCGGTAACGAAAATTATATATGGGGGATTTTTTTTTAACGCGGCGTACCAAGAGTGCTCCAATGTTCGGCAGAAGGTCATGCGTAATGGGGATAGCTGCCAAGATGTGGTGGCACGTGTCCCGATGCTGTGTGGTGACCAGCGTAAAGATTCGCACTTGGTGTCGTCGACCAATAACTGGATGCCGATTGGAAAAGACCACCTGGTACCGAAACCGAAACTGATGCTGCTGGCGGTGGCATCAGGTTCAACTTGGCATGACCATAACCAGACATGAACAGCTCACTTTGGTATTTGTATGCCGCTGGATCGGCCGCAGCTGGTTGCGTAGCTGCTGCTAAACCTTGAAAGTCGAACTTGTACGCGTACCTCTTCCCGTGTACCTTCGTCATGATGTTCTTGTCGTAATAGTACCTGTAGAGCAATCGTTCATTGGAACCATTTTATGATTCAATTAGAAATCAATCAATTTGCTATTTAAGTTAGATCTCGCGTTTGATTTATCGAGGGATGGATGGGTTGGCTGTAGGGAATAAAAAAACAAAAAAGGTTTCTTCGTCTTTTACATTTTCTTTTTAGTAGCAATATATTAATGCATCGAATTTTTCAACTCCGATCATTCTCGCGTATCGATCACCGAGGTCGTCGGTTACCTATCATTCCTGACCGTTCAATCCCATCACGAATTCTCGAAATGCGAACACCAATCCGAAGCATTAACAATTTGAAACGTTCACGTGGTATATCGAGGGACGATGGGAAACGTATTGGGTTGGTGATGGGGGAAGAGCACGCGCGTTCTACCTCTCGTAATTTTTCCCTCACCGTTGTGGAATACATCTAAAAGGTTCGTCGTTTCTGTTAGTAGTAGCCGGGGAACGAAATGTTGGAACGGGGAGCGAAAACGAAAAGCGAGCAGTCGCGTAATATAATCAGTGGATCTGATCGAAAAATAATAGCCGCGTCTGCCGGTCTGGGTAACAGTGATTGAAATTTCTCCCTCTACCTCTCGACGTTTCTCTCAACAACGGAGAGGAACCCAACCCCGGCGCTGATTTTCGTGCTTTCGTTCAAAAACGACGAATACTACTTTTTTCTTTTTCTATATTTCTTCATTTATATCTTTTTTTTTTGCAACGCCAAGTGGCAAAGTTATTTTTAGGTCTTGAAATCGTATCAGCCCCGTATCCGAATTATTTCTACCGAATGGTAATTGTTTTAATTGAATATATTTGATTATCTTACCTCAAGGCCCTCGACAATTTGTCATAATTCATGTTCGGTTTAGACTTCCTCTCGCCCCAACGTCTCGCAACTTCGTCCGGATCGGTCAACTTGAATTCACCGTTGGTTCCTTCCCACGTAATGCACGCGGCATTGCTAGAGTCGGATAAAAGTTCGAGTAGGAATTGCCAGAGTTGAATTTGACCTGACCCCGAACTCGCCAAGCGACTACTCGTCGCGCTAAACATTTGGTAGGGGTCTGGAAATAATGACAAATTCATGAACGTTAACAAATTCTTTCATTAATAAATATATATGTTTTATGTTTTTTTAGATAAACACAAAATTGTGGATAAAAGAACGGTGATAATTTAAGAAATATATTTATATTAGTTAACACTATGATATATTTGAATAGTAAATTCAATCGATTTCCGTATGTTTAGAAATATATCTTATTGTTCATTCTATGAGAAGTAAGAATTTCGGATGTATAGTTTCTTGGCCTTTTCCCCTGAAGCATATACCTATCCATTACACGGTTATTTCCTCGTGTTCCCCGTATCGCTCTTTAAAAGCTTTACAATGCGTCATCACCGTCGCTCGCTACTGCTCAGACTTGAAGGGCTCTAGAGTCATACAAAAGGATATAATCGCAACCCTACAATAGAATAGAGTTCGTTTGGATCATAATAATTTCAATTGGAGCTACCGTAGACGGAGTGCTGGTTCAAAGGGCGTCCGCGAATGTCTCCGCATTGCCCAAAAATCTATCCTACCTATAATATACTTTCTTATCCTGAAGCTCTAAACTATTCACTCGAATAACTATTATTGGATTTATTACAAATCTTTAATTGGTAATTATAATAAATGTTAAATCGTATAAATCACGTTTGATCATTCTAGATATAAGACTTTAGAATATAAAACATATACGACTGGTCAAACTTTTAAGGTATTTCAATTTAGAGAAACAGGTTGCTTTTAGAATAACCTAGTTTAATTTGTTAGTCAAAAAACACTTAGGATGTATATGTTTTTGATCACGTATTAAATATTTCGCTTCAAATTACTCCTAGCAATTAATATTTCTAATTACACTATATCGATCGTTGGCCGAGAGATTAATTAATTGCCTTTTAGATTTGCAACGTTCTTCAAATATAATATAAAATTATTAATATTCGATACACAACAAGTGTATCTACTTGCAAACTTTTTGACCAGTCGTGTATGCATTTGTAAAAAAAATAAGGAAAGGTTTCTCATGAAATTTAAAACGATTGTTTGAAGATAAACGCGAGGATTATGAAAGAAGAAGACGCGTAATCTTTTTTCGGTTAGGTATCCAGACAACTTCCGAGGAAATATATTTCGTGAAATTATGAAGGGGATGAAGATAGTAAAAGACAGAGAGAGAGAGAGAAGATGCAGACAGAAATAGATAGACGTAGACGATAGGGGATGGGGTGGTATCCGAATTGCCGGACCTCAAAGGTCGTTTCGCTAGTTGAGTTCCCCGAATACGTGGCAGAACGATCGGGTTTCGATCGAACGGTAACTCACTTACGAGTTAATAATGGAAAGGGGCGCGGTATACCGATGTGTGTGCTCAAATAAGGGATGAAGCAAGCTTTCGTAATATACCAGACCTAAAGATCCTAAACAATTGAACACCTAAGGACTTTTCATTAATTCTTATCAATTAAATATTATTATTATTTTTCTTATATAAATTTTGTCATCACAATCCATTGGGTTATCCTAAAACTTAAATGAAATTCATTAAAATAAATTATAGTTCGTTTTGATAAATGACATTTTGATTACACGTGATGTTTAATAATTGTTCTTAGTTATCTACAGATATAAAATTATATAAGTTTAGTTTTGATTCGTGAAATATATATCGATTACGTAGTTTTCCTTGCATACGATCGATACAATGTTAATATTTGTTTTCGATATGATAGACGATATTCATGGTCTTTTTTTTTGAAAATGATTAATGTTTCTTTAATGCACATATTGTTTAGCATTATTATTGACTTGCCATGCAAGTTTTACACACATATTTCTTCAATTATAAAATGAAATGTTAAAACAATATATACGTGGTCTCATTTATAAAACAAATGTCGTTTACTGATGACCAACGTGACAGTCAACGCGTTAAAAATTTGTTAATATTCATTGTACAGAATATTATTATAACAATTAGTTTCTTCTCTTCCATTAATGAATGAACATTTGTGAAGAGAGATAAAACACAGAGAAGTTCGAAAAAGGGAACGTTCATTTAGACCGATCGATCGTCCGAAAGGAGAAATTTCTGGGCGTGGCACGAGAAAATCAAGAGTCTGAACTTTCCTGTATAATATTCTTAGCGTGATTAGCGTGTAGTTTAATATTATCGGGAAGGTCATTCTATGCATATTCGGTGTATATATATATATAAAAAAAAACAAATTATTTTTATACGTAAATCTCTCTCTTGCATCAAGAATCGATTTATACTTGCATTTTTTATTCTATGTTAAAATCATATTTCTATAATGGTCTCTAATAATCGACAAGTTTTATACTAATTTAGTAATTTATTTAACGTTTTTTCAATTAAAAAAGTCACAAACGAACAAAAAAATATCTCATATATATTAATGTGAACTTTTTGATAAAAGATAAATACTTGAACTTCTCAAGAATATCTACCTACTACATACCAGGCTGCCTGAGGTGGCTGTGAGTGTCCAACGCCGACTTTGATAGGCTGCTTCCGTACCCTAAAAATAAAGAAGACAAGAAAAAAGAAAAGAACAAATCGTACGAATGTATCAGCAACTTAATCGAATAAACTTTTTAATCCTTTCGTTAGGGCAATCAACATTTAAGTTTTTCAACGTTACCATACCTTAGCGAATTATTTTGACGTGTTCAGAATATATTACGTGTTTTCAAAATATAATTTTAGTTAGATTAATCCAATACAAGTTCAATAAAATCATAGAGAGATATTCTATGGGTAAAATAGAATCGTAACGAAAGGGTTAATAATAAATTGACGAATATTCAAACGTAGACTGTCACGACATTTGTTTTTTTCAATGACGCCACGTGGATCATTTGCGATCGACATTACTATATCCCTTTATATATTTTAATCTTAAATATAATTATAGTATCTACACAATATAAAATATATACACGAACTTGTGTGGCAGTCAAACCAGTTAATTTAATTGTATTACAAACCAATTATATGTGTATATCAATGACAAAAACATGTTCGTAGTTTTTGTAGGAATCAGCAATGATCTTATGCTCAGTCAAGGATTAAAAATTGGTAAGAAAACAATGAGAGATAAGAGAGAGAGAGAACAAAAAAAGGGAAAAAAAAGGGAAAAAGGGAAAAGTTATCGGGCCGGTCAAAGACGGACAAAAGTATAAAACCCGGTCGAGCGTTAGAATCCGTTAGAGAGGATTTCCGTGTAGGCAAACACGGGGGCTGAGTGCTCCGTATACGTTTCTCCATGCTCAGGAGAGTTTCGATCCTAGTTCTTATCACCCCCCCAATTTCTTCTTCTTCTTCTTCTTCATCTTCTTCATCTTCTTTTTCTTCTCGTCTACCTCTCGTTTACTCGTCTTTGCACACGTTTTGTGTACACACGTATATACTTATGTTTGTTTGTTTGTTTGTGTGCATGCGTGCGTGTGTAGGTTTATATGCATTTGGTTTAGTATATAATACGTTCACTAGTCATCGTTACTAGGAACTTGGCTAGTGGTCACGTTCCTACGAACGAGTGTGCAATCTGTTTAAGGCACAATGGCCCCTTAATTTCGCTTCGTTATACTCTGTTACGTCAAAAGGCTACCATATATTTGACTATCAGTTTATACGTCATTACAAGGAAACTAGGATAATTACGAGATTATGTTAATTGAATGATTTTTCGAATAAAAATTCTGAGATATATATATATAAGTTTTGTTTTATAATTATTAAAGAGATTCGATTACGTAGAATATCAGATTGGAATGATTAAAGATTTTTTTGTTTTTTTTTTTTTTTTTTTTTAGAAAAGCAATTGAAATATATTCAATGGATATAATGTTAATAAATATATAAAAATAATGAAAATCCCATCGTAGGAATGTCGTTGACAAGTGGATAACGGCAGATGTTACCTTTAAATAGCAGTT